TGCCGCTTGTAGGACTCTTTGCCTTCATTTAGCCCCCTCCTATCAACTGATCGAAGATAAACTTCAAAATTATCGTCTGAATTCTGGCTGCCTAAAAGCCTTTATTCCAGTCTGAGATTACGCCATATTAGTGGATTTAGAGCAAGTGATGCATCTCCATGCCGATGTCTGGGACTCTTCTTCTCTATGGGCTTTAAAGCTATAACTTAGTTGTCCTCCTTATCCCTACCCACACAATTCCATCATCGGCCCATATATTAAGAACATTCCCAAACTTCTCGCTGAAATCGTCAGTGTTAGTCGACATCATTAGTACAGAGTTACAATTTATAAGTGACAAGTTAAGGCAATCCTCTTTATTAATTTTCTGTTCAACCGTTGCGGTATCACTATTCATTTCGTTTTTGTCCCTACAGTGCTGAAACTATTTCTCTCAACCCAATTTATATAGCCCATTTACATATTCACACCATTATGTGCTCTCTTATCTTCCACTCCTGCCTAAGAGTTCCTCTAATGGTGTATTTAGTAAAACGTGATCACCGCCGGCTTCAGATAACGTCTGCATGGGTACTTACATTCATTTGACCTCTCCCTCTAACCATTCATCATTTTATCACTAAAACATAAAAATGCTGCATATGAAACTAAAGCAAGTGAGGGTATTAAGACGAGGATCGTTTGGCCTTTTGTGTGGTCGCAGTCTCCTTTCGTTGTATAGAAGTTCTTGGACTTTGTTTTAGCAACTTGGTCATATTGGTAGGAAGACTTAGAGAAAAGCAAATAGTCTGGACTCTATTGTATGCATGATAATTTCCAGTCGGACCGTGGACGTGTTACATTGCCAGACGTTTCGCCGGTATCGTCAGTGAGTCGGCCATTCTTAGTCTCTTGTGTGCCAACCCACAAATGTTGTGGTTCAAGAGTGAAACTAATCAAAGCAAGCAGTACCACAACATTTGTGGGTAGGTACACGAGACTAGGTCATAGGCAGTGATAGACTTGGTATAAGGGATACAAATATGACTGACGCGAGGGAGACTAGGGTTAGTTGGCTGACAGCAGGCCTGTTTCACCATATACGTAGTCCATGAAGCAAAGGCTTGATAATGATATTTACTCTGGATCTTTAGCCTCAAGTTGGTCTAGCGTACACGGAGTGCTTGAAATAACGACTCGTGGTGCACAGATTGGGTAGCAGGGATCGATGAAATACTTGAACTAGGGAGATGTAAAACGGATCCTATGGGGCGAGAGGGAGACTGATAAGACAGTGAAGAACTACGTAACAATATGATAGACTGATCAACATTCCCGGCACAAAAATAAGGGTGGGGGGTGAGAATGTCAGCGTTGAGAGTTCTCATTAAAGCTACTTATAATGGCACAACTACATTTAAATAAACAAGGAAGAAAATAGTGAAAGTAAAGGCGTAACACGGTGATGAGGGATTGGCGATTAGCCCAGCGTGGGAGAGGTACCACGATCGTTTAGCAGACAATTCGTCAAAGGATCGGTTTCACTTGTTTGTGACAAGTTTTAATATGGCGCTAGGAATGGCAAGACGTCTGGGAATATACCAGGTCCACGGTATACGAAATCTTCATGCATACAACGGACTCTGGATTAGGTGCGTTCCTCTAGGAAAGTTGTGAAAACAAGGTCAAACAACTTATGAAAGGTTAATCTTTAAGGAAAAGGCTATCCTACCTAGACGTTCGAATATTTGTCATTTCATTTTAGGTGAGTGGAAGGGATTCTTAGGTCGGTCTCACCTAAAGTTGTGATTTAGACACGGCCATAAGACCCGATTCGCATCTTCAAAGGAAATGTCCGACCTTGCTTTTTCACAGCCTCCCGCAACTATCTTATACTGGCTTGTTACGTGCACCCAATGAGCCGAACGTTGAGATCAGAAGCAAACGCTTTAAACAGATACAAAAGTCTCCATATCTTCGATTAACAAACGCTATGAACGCATGGATTTATTCTCACTTGGCCGCGCCTGCCGCCAAAAATACACATCAACTGATTAACCCCTTGGCATGCCAGAGATTCATCTAAATACAACTGTCCTAGCCCATTGCCAACGGCCTTTATGTTTAGAGGATCAATATTAAGCTGAAAATCCACTCGGGATATTTAGATCATAAATACCTTAAAAAGGAACTGGCAAGAGATGCAAAATGTTTGATCCCTACTTTAATAATGTCATTACATACTGTGGCTATTTATTATTGGGGTGTACTCTTATTGCCCTTATTTCATAATATAAATTAATGAGTAGGGCCCAATCAATGCAATACCAAAAATCAGTGACATTTGATGAGTTCATTTTAAAGATGAATAAGTTTAAAAACGTCACTAAGTGGAGGATGCTTAAGTTGATAATTTTTTTACTAGCTTTCGTAGGTTTGTCGTATGCAATTATGCTTGATAAATTGGCGAATGTCCCGGACTGGATATCATAATCTTGCTTCGTTTCTACGTTCATCGAGCGAGATATCTACGTTTTCACACATGTAAGGAAAAGATAAGATATATTGCGAAGAAAAAATGCTCAAATTTCCCAAGAATGTGCACAATCCAGAACCATGGAATTGAACTCATTTTTTATCTGTGAAGGTGTATACAATTATAAAGGAAGTAAAATATAGAACAGAACTGTACACTTTGAGGTGCCCTCAGATAGAGCAAACGACAAGAAAAAATTTGCCTCGATACAGAATGCGAATGTTCATCTAGCTGAAGAAGCGCTTCAATAAATCAAGTCCCGACAATGATACAAAGCAGTTTAGTGGTAAGAAGTATTTGGAATCAGAAAGAAAAGAGGAGATGAGATATTCAAATAAGTAATCAAAATCAGTAGAAAATTACCATAAAATCACTTGATCGTTCAAGGTAATAGGATATAGTTGATCCGCGTTCATCTTGTCGACCGCCATTGTGGCTGGAAGAATGTGAAGTCGAGTTTGAATAAAATGCCAACATAAGAGACGACTGAGCTGAAAGAGGCCTGATGCAAGATACAAATAAAAAGCATTTAAGAAATCCAAAAAGGGTCTCAGTGAAACTTGACAAATAGAAAATTCCTAACATGGTATTTTACAGGAAAAAATAAGAGGAACCCAGGATGAAATGCATTTCAATGGTAAGAAGGCGATTGAAAATGTTAAAGATCAGAACAGGAAAAATCTGTAATGTCATCGGGTTCGAATCCCGAAAGGCAAGGTAATTTTGCGGATAAAATTATACCTACAATGATTTAGAAAGTATCGTCAGTGGCAAAAGAATAATTAGGTAGAGAAGTAAAACAGATGTCTGAGATGGGATGGTGACCATTTGACCTGCAGCGGAGAGTTGAAGACATGACCGCGAGTGAAGCGTAGAATATATGTACAAAAGAATCTGCATGGGATAAATCTCCTTCATCATTTGCCAATATATTAGGATATCAAGTGGGCATTATGCCGATACGAATCAGCTGGTAGGTTAAATTCTTGCCCAATAAAGAACCTTTAAGCAATACAGGGACGGAAAGCAGGATGACTGGCCTAATATACATATCACAATTCTATTTGCCAATAAGCATTAATTTATTGGCAAATTGTGGTTGAAAAGAATGGCGAGCGTCTTGCGATAGAAGTGAACATTTACATGCTTGGGCTGAGGGGAATACGTAACTTGTTTGCTAGATTCTCTACAGCATCATCCTCGTCCTCTGAGAAGGTAGGGATATGTGACGCATGAAAGTCGCCAAATCCTGAAATGTCTAGTTGAGGAAGTGGAGCCCATCCAGATGACCCGAATGCAATAGGCTCAACTGACAAGCTGGAGCAGTCAACTTCAGGAAGATCACTTTCTGACCTTAAAACAACGTTTTCTACTGAGGTAGAATGTGAGGTAAGATGAAGGGACCTTGAAGCGGAAGATAACGGTGACAGAATGCCAATATTGGAGACATGAGTCGCGTCAAGTCGAAGCGGGACTGCTGTAATAGAAGCTGCAGAGGGCTGTGGGTCGATTGGAGGCTCTCCTGGTGAGATATGTTCTGCTGATGGTGCTGCTGTTGAAGTCAAGTCATCACCGAGTGAGTTAATTTCCGATGCAACATGGGGTGTGTGACTCACATCTCCACTAATGCAACTTAAATTAATAGAGTTCGTTTTATCGAGTATAAGACGTTTAGCTAAGCGTACAGCATCCGTGTATCCCTTCACTCGAGTGCGAGGATTATATAGACGATCGAAAGACTCAACAAAAGGGTAAAGTTTTGAACAACTTAAGTATGAACATTGATCCCAAGCCAACCAGTCGACACGTGCTGTGAAACCGGCTGCCAAACTAGGATCATTAGGAGTGGAAGCTACGGCGAGGCTGGTGGAATTTGAACTACCTTCTGATAGTTGTTGTTCCACTGGAACGTTACAGAGTTGGTGTAGATTTCTGGCCCACAAGGCATTGATTCTTGAAGGCCAGTAGGGGTATCCCGCAAGCTTTGCCCAAACAATATCACCAACATGAAAGCCGTTACCACCTGCCCCACAACAACCAGTAGAACTTGTGCCATTTGTAGATGCCGCAATGGACGAAGCGGGAGAGCTTGCGTTGGCCGTTGAGATTCTAGTACGACGGGAAACTTCCCCGCCAGGAGCATCCGCATCACACCAAGACTCCACAATTCTAAAAGTTCCAGAAATATCACTTTTAGATCTGGAACGAGACGACACCTTAGAGGCTTTAGAGGGCAAGGTCGGGTCTCGACGAAGTCTTATCTTAAGACCACTACCAACCGCGCATGATGTATGGAGGGAACTGTCTGGGCTCAAAAGTGACGAAACGCAAGAAGGAACTGTGGTAGAGTAACGAACTTTCGTTGGAGCTCTCCGAGGCTTACAAGAAGTAGAAGAAGTGAGTGCAGAGAGATTAAGCGTCAAGGTAATGGGTGCTGGGGAAACTAGCTTTTCTACAGAGACAAGATTTTCCTTCAGTTTTGTGCTTGAACGCGCCGACTTGCGACGTCTTGTATCTTTCTCATGAACGTATTCATTGAAATTACGTTGGCGTCGACAGCCTGCTAAATTTTTTCGGTGCATAGGCTTAGTGTTTTCTTTAAAGGCACTAGGTTCCAATTTTATGTTAGAATCAGATACAGCTCCGCCGAGATAGTCAGTTGAAATGCCAATTTTGGAGTAGTGAGGATCACCAGGACTGGGACTACCACAGGATGAAACACTACCAGTGTTGCTCATCCCATGGACACAAGGAGGAGGTGTATGACTACTAAGGCTACTGCTTGTATTTGTAAGTGATGAGGATAGAGCAGCAGCAGTGCATGGAGCACTGCCAGTAGTAGAAGGAGAACATCCAAGGTAACCAGCTCTGGGTGGCGAAGCAGCAACTGACTGTGAGTGAGAAACTGGATGTGATAAAGTTGATTGAGTAAAGCAATGGGGGTTGAAATCTGGGAGAGAAGTGAACTGAATCATTTGAGAACTAAGAGTTGCTGCAGACCCCGAAAGGTTGCTTTCTTCAGAACTACCGTTTTTGGATTGTTCTGTTAAGGCTTGATCCTTCGCTATCCACATTTGTTTAGGCTTCTGATAACCCCGAGAACGAGATCCAGAAGCATCTTCCGCTTCCTGAAAGGCGTAAATATTGGGCCCACAAGAATCTTGATAGCCAGACTCAGCACTATCAGGTCGGGTAAGAATGCTAGGCAGGGTTTCGCCTGTTGTGGGGGTTGATGAAGGCTTCATGAGCTGGCTAACATCTAGTAAATAATTTTAAAAGTAAAAAAATAATATAGAAACTTTAAAATGATTACTAAGTAATTAAAATGAATATAATGGGATTAAATGCGACACTACTTTAGTGTTATTCATGACGAATCAATACCATAGAAATAAGAACAAGAAGCGATGAGATTTGTGAAAAAGGAAAAAAAGGATTATAACAGTAAAAGAAAAAATGTCAACAAAATAGATAAGCAAAACTAAAACACAGAGTACTTGAGGCAATCAATGGAAACAAATAGACAATAAATGAACTGAAACGCACGTATATAATAGCAAAGAATTTTTAAGATATAACCTAGAATATATAAATAAAAGAAAAAAAGGCGAAATAGTATAGGAAACAATGTAATTAAATAGTAAACAAGTATAATCAAAGTGAAGGTTTGGCTGAACTGATAGTACAGATTAAGGAAAATTAATATATTATTTTGACATTTAAGACGTATAAAAACAGTTTTAAATAAATTCAATAATCAGTCTGTAGATAAAGAATACATGAAAAGCCGTTACAACGAATAATTAGACAAACCGAATTAGAAAGCATCCGAAAGCTATTTACAAATTTGCTACCTCCAGTAAATGTAAATAATTAAAACATCTAAATATTATTTTTAAAATATATTAGTTAAGTTATTATTGATATAAAATTTAAAGAAAAAATAAAAATAAGTAAATAGTTACCTAACTTTTTTATTTATTAAAAATGTTTATACTATTTTCTCAAACATGATTCTCACTTACTTATAAGCTGTTGATTTTTTACCTGCAAGAACGTTAAATTTTACAAGAATATGGTAACTTTATTGTGATATATCAATTAATAGCCTGCAATAGTTGTTGATACTACGAATTATTGTGCGTTTAACGATATATTATGAGTACCTATTATTTCATAATTTTATAATTAAATAAGTTACTCTCTCTTAAAATTGCTGAATAGTTTTATATTTTACGTTTATTCATTCTGATAAATACTGGCTTAATTGTATTATTATAGCAACTATCCTTTTAAATGAGAAAAATTAAACTCGTAAACAATCTCGCATATTATCACTTACTCTTTGCAGAATCTCCATCACTCTTACAGTCACGGGACGTCACTGCGTAGTGAAGATAATCTGAAATGTACTTACTAAATTTTGAAACGAAATTAGTCAAAATTTTAGCTAAGCAAATGAATAATATATAAAACGACATGGTAACAAAATGTAAGCTATAAAAACTAATTATAATAATTTGACTCCTAGAATGAATATTACCCAATAATCAACAAATAATATATGAGATGTATTTATCATATTTCGTTTAAGGTGATGAATAGGAATGAATATATATATATATATGTTTATCGTTTACTTTTTGAATCCCCACTATGAAATCCGCTCATCAAAACACATTTATTTCTTTGTATTCTTAGGATATCTTTTTCAAGAAGCATCCTTGCCAGTCTGTCCAGTTCAGAATCCCATAGTTCAAAATAGTCTAATATTAGATTGCCTATAATTATCCAGTGAGTTTACCGAAATTTGCTTAATGATGAGGGTCAAAACTAAAAATCTAGGATCATTTCTTTTCTTAAGATTGCTTAATAAATAACTGTTACATAAAAATATGCTGATTGCGAATAATTATATATATATATATATATATATGAGAATATATACTGTCAGATCTTTATCGCCTACCATAGGCTATTAAATCACAAAGGACCATGTTAGGACTGCTGAAGGATAAATTGCACATTAAAAAGATTTTTTTCCGAGTAAAAAAAAGGTTGGATTATTAATAGCAAATTGCTCATATACCTCTTTGATTATGCGTAAATGGCAATTCTCATAATCAAGGAGTTATTTTTAATAATAAAAGTAGCACTGGAACTGAATTAATAATGCGATGCAAGATTGTATGCATTTACGTTCAAAGTCCAATAGTAGGAATTATGATAAAGACTGTTACAGACGTATTCTTAAAAGATTTGTCCAATTGGGTCCCCCTGACAACATGACTATTTTGCGAATACGAAGTCAAACCACTTCTAAATCTAAAGTAAGCTACCACTAAAAACGGCTACAATATCTATGTATTTATAACTAAGCTTTAAACAAATTTTAGTGTGGCAGCTATAAATTAAGCAGGCAATTATTTATGTCAGGTTGGTTAATCTGTTTAGCAACTTTTTCCGGATTCGATCTGTCTATAGTCCTTGCATTTTTTTTGTAAATTCCAGAGCATTCTATTAAGCAGACTTTTTCATATTGTGTGGGTAGGCAAGTGAAGAGAATTGTCCTTTCTTTCAGCATTTAACGAATGTTCCACTTTGTTAGTAGCGGCTTCCAAGCCAGTTTGTAGAAGGATTAATACACCAATCGTTTCACTTCAGTTTGATTTGCCCCATCCTCCCAACTGATTATCAAGATCTGCTTGCGACTAAGTATTGCTTTTTCTGGATATCCATTTCCAAGAATATCTGAATTGTTACTTTTGGATCGCTATATCAAATATCAGAATCGGTTAGTCGTAGACTATATGTATGGGTAAAATATGTTCAGCCAGTAATTAGGGTAAGATTCAAAGTTACGGATTCCTTCTTCATTTGATCCCTTTTATAAAAGACGTTTGTTGATACGCTACTCGGAGTGAATTACTACTTCGAATATACTTCTTCTCACGGCTGCCGTATTTTATGCTATAAAACGTCTAGCAATCTGGTTTGTCAACCTTCTCGTGTTGCATCGGTAGGCTTGCAAAGATTTTTACCTATACTTTTGTTATCACTTTGAAATTCCAGTTTCTTAGCAAAGTTCGCAATTAATGGCTCAGTTCAGAGAAGGCCAGCATATCCACTTTTCTGCCATTCTTTCGATTACTGATCTAACGTCAATATTTGAGTATTGACCCATGCTACTTATGTCTAAATAAAAAAGCATATAACATAAATACTTTAAGACATGATGGAATATTATAATGATAACTTGATTTAACTGGTGAAGAATAGTTTAATAAAAGATAAAAACTCAATATTATATTTCTGATTATCTCTTATGTGAGAATATGTATTATCTACATTTATAATACTAACTATTCTGCATTATTTAGACGTCTAGTAGGGTTAATTTAATATTTATAATTAATCCTGTTTGTAAAGATGTATAGAACAACCAAGTTACTTAGTTCTGTTGTTTAGACCCAGTTTTCGCAACTAGGTCAGAACTATGATAAAGGAAAGCTTAGCTTGTTTTCAGCTGAAGCGAGGGTGGTAATAAACTAATTATCAATATATCTTTGGCAAATTCAACTTTGCGAAGATATTCAGTGAAAGACAATGAAGTCTAATTAATGTAGTGGACTTCATTTTT